TAATGTTAGAACAGTAAACATTATGTATGTTTTTATTTTTGACCATGTTTTCATTCCATATCAGAATCTCTCAGAATTTCAAAAATTCCCCCTGATGTAACTGAGTACCACCCTGTATATGTTTACATTTTGAACTATTTGTGTACGTTTGCGTTAGACTATGACATAGTAATGCTACAATCAACTAAAATTGCTCATTTTTTCTTTTTAATTAAGTTACATAGTTTCAAGAAATACGATTTCTCGACTTTAACACCCTGTATTTTAAAAACTAGCCATAGGATTGAATTGGTCCCATGAACACTTTTGGTCAACAAGTCGAGTACAACATCATATTCAAAATTTATTACATTTGACGGAACGCCACTTTGCCATTAGAAAAGGGCGGGGTCCTTTCACATTTGAATGGTTTTTCATCACTGTGAAGTATTAAATGTTGATTTAAATTAGATTTTCTATTAAATTGATTGGAACAAATGTCACACTTGAATGATTTTATTTAGCGTGTGTCAATAAATGTCGTTGTAAGCTACTTTTGCGATTAAATTCTTTGGAGCAAATGTCACACTTGAATGATTTTATATCAGTATGAATTAAAAAATGTTTGAATAAGTCAGGTTTTCGTTTAAATTTTTTTGAACAAATTTCACATTTAAATGGTTTTTCATCACTGTGAATTACTAAATGCTGATTTAAGTACGATTTTTTACTAAATTGTTTGGAACAAATTTCACATTTGAATGATTTTTCATCACTGTGGTTTATTAAATGATGATTTAAGTACAATTTTGTTTTAAATTGTTTGGAACAAATTTCACATTTGAATTGTTTTTCATCATTGTGGATTATTAAATGTTGATTTAAGTTCGATTTTGTATTAAATCCTTTGGAACAAATGTCACACTTGAATGATTTTTTATTAATGTGAGTTAATAAATGATTGCGTAAGTCAGCTTTCCGTTTACATCTTTTTGAACAAATTTCACATTTGAATTGTTTTGTATCACTGTGAAGTATTAAATGGTGAGTTAAGTATGATTTTCTTTTAAACTGTTTGGAACAAATGTCACACTTGAATGTTTTTTTATCATTGTGAATTAATAAATGTGCAGTTAAGTCAATTTTCCGTTTAAATTTTTTTGAACAAATTTCACATTTGAATGTTCTTTCATCACTGTGAATTATTAAATGTTTGTTTAATTTCGATTTTACATTAAATTGTTTGGAACAAATGTCACACAAAAATTGTTTTTCACTAGTTTGTAATTTTGAATAATTAGAAATAAAATTGCGATATTGCTCTAATTCCTTGGAATCAAGATTACAATTCATTTGGTTGTCGTTAATGTGATTTTTGGTGTGACTTTTCGGCTCAATGTAATCCATGTCAAGTTTTAAAACTTCGATGATTGTCTGAGATACATTTTGAGTTCTATTAGGTACTACATGAATAAAATAGTGTTGCAAAAATTCAATTCTATTCATAAATTTTCCACAAAACTTACAAACTACGCAGCGTTTACCAAAATGTCTATCGATATGTTCCGATCTTGATTTAGTAGAATGGAAATCTGTAAATGAAGAAAAAAAAAATAAAAAACTATTGAACATAATTTTCCATTTGAACTATTTATTACATGTCACAACTTTGCTAATTCAAGAAGTGTATAGATTGTTGCTAAATAAATAATTCGATAAAATATTATTCTTTAAAATTTAGAAGCGGAAACTAATTAGATACGTATTTTTATGCACAACTATTTCGAATTGTGCATTCTTTGTGTTGAATACCATTTAACAAATTGCATTCGTCATTATGCTCAAAATTGCATTCAATATACACTAAAAGCTTTCATTCTCGATTTTTACCGCCTCTGGAGACTTCTCTGTAAGCGGCACTGCATTGACCGATAAGGAAGGTCTCCCAACAAATAACTACGTCACAGGCATCATTTACTTCTCTCATTGGTTACCGCCATAGGCGGCATCCACTTTCATTAGTTAGCATGACAGGCGTTATACACTTCTTATTGATCAACGTCAAGCATGACTCTCAAGCTCGCTTAGCTACTTCTCTCCTGCGTATAATTAAAGCAGCAGAAACTGTCTAACACCCATCTTATAAGTAAAATTCTGTTTCGAAATCCTCCTTGCTAAGAGAGTCTGACCATATTTTACAAACGAAAATGAAATAATATAATTAAGGGCCAGTTTATTAATGTGATGATACAGCTGATGTTAAAGGACAAAAAGTTAAAGTTCTCTTAAGACTAGTTTTCGAGCTTGTAAATACTTATAATTTTCAAAAAGACTTTAATACGTATACGTTGTAATTTTTTGACATTCTTAAATATTAAAAGGTATAGCTTAACTTTCTAGGATATTTATTATGATACTATCCATTTTGTAACACAAAGCATTTTGAGATGTTAAAAAGGAGACGCTCCGTCCGCTATCATGTAACATATTTTATACACCATCGGGTCGGTGGTGTAGCAGTCTAACGCGCTTATATTCATTTATAGGCAAGTTTATGGTCCGAGACTGCCGGGCTTCGAATCCCAGACCAGACCATGTAGATTTTAAATTAAATTGCATGGTTCGGTATAGGATTTGATGTGTGTCGAAAACTATTCGCCCTTCTGTCTTCTGTAGTGCCTAGTTAATACTCCGTGAGTGCCGTGATTTCCAGAGCGTCGATCCGTCTGGTCTAAGTTACAGGGACGTTCCGAAAACTTTGATTTCATTTATTTGCTTGCATTTGATTACCGTCATATTTAAATTGTTTTCGAGTGTATTAATTTATTTTTAATAAATTTTCCGTATAAAGGGAGTTTCACATTTCCCAGACCGCTTGGCCTCCTATGCTAGCGAACAGTAAATATTTTCCCGTACTAGTAAAAGGTAATACGAACTTTTAATTTCCTTAGTACCTAACAAGGTAATAAAGTAAATTGGATTTAAATCCGGGGGCACTCGCACCCTTCATCCATTTTCGCGTTAATCAGGGGGTGATAGCGGTATTCGCTTGCTTCCCCCTAGTCTTTATAACAGCTCGTGGAAAGGGGTTCTCTCTTGTAGAAGCTATGGAGACACGAGAGATACTTTAAACCGTTAATATTTAATTAGTTTTCATTGGTAATAATTTATTTTTAATAAATTTTCCGCATATAAGGAACCGTTAATATTTAATTAGTTTTCATTGGTAACAATTTATTTTTAATAAGTTTTCCGCATATAGGGAGCCGTTCATATTTAATTACCGTTGTATTATTATTTTTTTTTGTAAATATATATTTTATTACCTATTCCTGTTTCTCTTATTACTGGTTCTTAACCGTTCTCTTTCAGGGTACCGTAGGGTACGAGGTGTAAAGGAGATAAGTGTTTTATTTTTATTTATTCTAGTATAGTGGCTACCTAGCAGTGACCGCCTGGAATTATTTACCTCCACTGAGTTCACCTTGAGTACACTCTGGCGATACCAAAACTGGCGCCTGAGCAATCCCTATTCGGGAATCACCTTCATAGCGCCACACAGACTCGCTGATTCACTGTAGGTGAACCAGAAGCTTTCAAAAGACATTACAATATTGAGTACAGTGTTAAAAGTATATGAGAGAAACTTTGAAAATAGATTAAAAAGTAGAATTAGAAGAATCACAGAGCTTTTCATAAAGGTAGAAGTGCACAAGACCACATATTTACAGTGAGACAATTAATTAAAAAATAATAGAAATAATATGTTGCTTTTTAGGATACATAAATATCGTTCGACAGTGTTCCTAGATGGCAAATATGGATTTATTTAAAACAGATAGGAATAAACCAGAATTTCTATATTATGGCCATACTGCGAGCCCTATTCAGTATACTTTCCATGTGTCAGATGTAAAATATTTTTTTTGTAAACTATTACAATGCTCGACTGTACATCCAAAATTATCCAATTCGATTTCTTCATTGATAATAATGTCGCCGCATATGTTACACTTTTGTTTAGCGTGCATTTTTAAATGCCGTGTAAATAGTGTTTTTTTTGTAAATGTTTCAAAACAATCGGTACATTTGAACGGTTCTTTTTTAATATGAATTTTTAAGTGCTGTGTAAATAGTCGATTTCGTGTAAATGTTTGAAAACAATTGGTACAGTTGAACGGTTCTTTTTTAGTATGAATTTTTAAATGCCGTGTAAATAGTCGTTTTTGTGTAAATGTTTGAGAACAATTGGTACATTTGAATGGTTCTTTTTTTATTGTGAATTTTTAAATGGGACTGTAATATACCTTTATGGGTAAATTTTTCAGAACAAATGTCACATTTAAATATTATTTCTATAGTATGTTTTATTACATGTATCTTTAAATATGCTTTCTGTTTAAATGTTTTGAAACAAGTGTCACACTTGAATAATGTTCCGTCAGTGTGCAATATTAAATGTTGCTTTAAGGTAGATTTTTGCTCAAATCCTTTAGAACAAATATCACATTTGAATGATTTTCCGTCAGTGTGAATTATTTTATGTTTAGTTAAGTTCAATTTTGCATTAAATTGTCTGGAACAAATATCACATTCATATGGTTTTTTACCAAATTTTCTTATTGAATTGCGATTTTGCATCAATTCCTTAGAATCAAAATCACAATTCATAGGTTTATCGTTAATGTGACTTTTAGTGTGAATTTTTGGTTCAATGTAATTCATGCGAACAGCTTCAAGTTTGGAAACTTCGATGCTTGTCGGAGATACATTTTGAGTTCTATTAGGAACTAGATGAATAAAATAGTGACGTAAAAATTCAATTCTATTCATAAATTTTCCACAAAACTTACAAACTACGCTGCGTTTGCCAAAATGTCTATCAATATGTTTCGTTATTGATTTAGAAGAATGGAAATCTGCAAATGAGAAAAAAAACCATTTAATACAATTTTCCGCTGAAATTGTGTATTACATGTCACAAGTTTGTTATATTAAGAAAAAAAGTAAATTTTTTAAATCTATTCTATTTGAAGACGACACCACTTTTGTGTACTCTACAAAAAATGAAATTAAATTGAAAAACAATGCAGAAACTATTATCGCTAAAACTGAACATTGGTTCTTATCTAACTATCTCATGTTATATCAAAATAAATCTCAAGTATTGCAGTTTTCTTCGGTTACCGATTCTCAAAATTGCAGTAGTACTTGGAGTTATGTTAGATAGTAATTTAACTTTGAGACTTCATATAATTAAATTAAAACCTAAATTATGCAGTACCTTACATCTGTTGAAGCAGCTTAAAACTCTAACAGATCGTAACATATTAAGAATGGTTTACTTTCTCCTATTCCATTCCCACATAAATTACGCCACTGCACTTTGGGGTGGGTAACAGTTTAGATGCAATTTTGATTTTTCGGTTGCAGAAGAAGGCTGTTAGAATCATGACTGGTTCCACATTTAGAGAACATTGTCAGCCCTTGTTTATTCAGCAAGGAATAATGCCTCTACCAACTATTTATATATTTAGTGTTATTGGAAATTCATAAGAAATTATCCTGTCTTTCTAGATAGTCCAACATTCACAAATATCCCACCAGACAAGCTAACAAGTTAAGAATAAATAAATATCGACCAACCAAATGAATTACAAACTACTGTATTATAGAAAACTTATATCAGTGTGACTTTTAAAATGTATCTCTAAATTAGATTTTCCTTTTAATTTCATTGGAACAAATGTAATATTTAATTAGTTTTGTATTAAAGACAATTATGTTGCAGCAACATTGTTCCTGAACGGTTTTTGATCCCTGTGTATTTTTAAATGTCGATTTAAATGCGATTTTTCATAAAATTGTTTGGAACAAATATCACATTTAAATGGTTTTTCTTCAGTGTGTGTAACTAAATGTTGCTGTAAAGACCATTTGCGGTTAAATTCTTTCGAACAAATTTCACATTTGAATGGTTTTTCACCAGTATGCCATTTTAAATGTTGCTGTAAACTAAATTTGCGATTAAATCCTTTTGAACAAATGGTACATTTGAATGATTTTTCATTAGTATGAATTAGTAAATGTTGATTTAAGTTCGAAATTGCTTTAAATTGTTTGGAACAAATGTTACACTTTGAGGTTTTTCTGTTTTCGTTAGTGTGAATTAACAAATGTTTGCGTAGGTTAGATTTTCGTGTAGTTTTTTTGGAACAAATGTTACACTTAAATTGTTTTTCTTTAGTGTGTGTAATTAAATATTCCTGTAAAGACGATTTGCGGTTAAATTCTTTGAAACAAATGTCACACTTGAATGATTTTTTATCAGTGTGAGTGAATAAATGTGTGCGTAAGTCAATTTGCAACTTAAATTTTTTTGAACAAATTTCACATTTGAATAGTTTTTCACTATTATGCAATTTTAAATGTTGCTGTAAGCAAAATTTGCGAGTAAATCCTTTGGAACAAATGTCACATTTGAATGGTTTTTCATTAGTATGCAATATGAAATGTTGCTGTAAGGTAAATTTGCGATTAAATCTTTTGGAACAAATTCCACATTTGAATGGTTTTTTGTCAGTGTGAATTAACAAATGTGTGCGTAATTGATATTTTCGTTTAAATTTTTTTGAACAAATTTCACATTTGAATAGTTTTTCACTATTATGCAATTTTAAATGATGCTGTAAGCTAAATTTGCGAGTAAATCCTTTGGAACAAATGTCACATTTGAATGGTTTTTCATTAGTATGCAATATGAAATGTTGATGTAAGGTAAATTTGCGATTAAATCTTTTGGAACAAATTCCACATTTGAATGGTTTTTTGTCAGTGTGAATTAACAAATGTGTGCGTAATTGATATTTTCGTTTAAATTTATTTGAACAAATTTCACATTTGAATGGTCTTTCATCCCTGTGAATTATTATATGTTGATTTAATTTGGATTTTGCATTAAATTGTTTTGAACAAATGTCACATTTGAATGATTTTTTACCAGTTTGTAATTTTGAATAATTAGAATTAAAATTATGATTTTGCTTCAATTCCTTAGAATCACAATTCATAGGTTTATCGATGTGATTTTTAGTGTGAATTATTGGTTTAATGTTATTCATGCAAGCTGTTTCAAGTTTGGAAACTTCAATGATTGTTTGAGATACATTTTGAGTTCTATTTCGCACTACATGAACAAAATAGTGCCGCAAAAATTCAATTCTATTCATAAATTTTCCACAAAACTTACAAACTACGCAGCGTTTACCAAAATGTCTATCGATATGTTTCGATCTTGATTTAGAAGAATGGAAATCTGTAAATGAAAAAAAGACACTTTAATACAATTTTCCATTGGAATTGTGTGTTACATGTTACAAGTTTGCTATTTGCTTTTAGTATTACTAAATAAATAATTCAATAAAGTATCGGCATATCTAACGTATATTTCTAAATTTAGAAACTAAAATTAATTCTAGTTATGTATGTCGGCAGCGCCGCTGTTTAACTTTTGTTTTGTTTATAGTTTTAATAAGTTTGATTTATTGGTAATCGGTATTTCAATAACAAGTTGTAAGCTTCTACTTGGTTTTTATAAATGATGCACACTTGCCATTCATAATGAGGGGCAAGGGGGGCGGAACGGAGCCAACAGGATGTTCATAGAAAATAAGAAATGAAAACACATCAGAGAAGTGTGATTGATCGGGCGGTGGTACGCTGGCTCCGGATCGCTAGTACCATTTCTTTAATTGATATCGAATTATTAGTTTTTGCAGGGGCGACTCAAGCATAGCCCTGACTTTTATATGCGTTTTTTTGTACAATAACTCCTGACCTACTCTTAGTTTTGTTGATATGATAAGTCCAGGACGAACGAATTGCTCTAGAAATTCAGTTAAAAAATTGTAAATAGCTCGTTTACCAAGAAAGATACAAAGTTCATTACGCTATAAAAAAAATTAAAATTCATAGTTCTATCTGAGAAAGAATTTATGACATACCTTTTTGAAACACCCTGTACATTGTATTCTTTTCAACATTATATTATTATATTTTTGTAAAATAGCGTATTTGTTTATATCTTAGAAAAAAAAAGTATATATAATAGGTGAATAGAGATGAATAATCACAGTAGTGCTAAACTACTTATGCTAACTGGCTAATTTTAGTTATTTATAATATTATTTATTTAATTTAAAGCCTGATTTATGATGCTGTTAAAGAAATGTATGCTATTTTGTTGGACCCAACTTTCTAATTTATTTTTAAAAGAGTTATAAATAAATACTTTCATAAATGATGCATCATGCAATCCGAGTTTAATAAAATATTTCTTAACGTAACTTTAGTAAGAAATAACATATTTATTGTAGATATTATCGTGATAAATGATTCAGATTTAGAAGAAGTTAAAATAACATCCGTATTTTAAGGGCCAGTGCTCACGAACGTTTGTTGCAGTCGCGTCGACGCAACGGCATTTATAGGAACTACATTAAATTAAGTCACACGATGCAACGTCGACAAACAAAAATACCACCGCTCGTTACCTTCTCGAGGCCAGGTATTTTTAAGGTTAAACTAGGAAAATACCTTGTATAGTTGTTATATTATTGTTATATGTTAACGTACAGATATTTTAGTAACAAACTTTTTCTTAATTTGCAGTTATTGGTTATCAGAAATATATGGATAAAAAAATAATTAGTATTTGATCAAATATCAGAGCTGTCACTTTAGACAACCATGTATAGATTTTTGTTCGTGATCTTGAAAAAAAAACTCGAATCGAAACATAAATATGTAACCCAATTAGTAAGTAATACTGTCACAAAATTAATACATTAAACTTGAAGGACACTTGCAAATTTATATTTCGTAATTTTAAATACAAATTAATGTGAAAAATAGGAGAAAATTTATTAATGGGGATCACTTATCAATCATTTTTAAATATTCAATTGTTTTTCTATGATAATTGCTTCAGCAAACATTTAACAAATTGGTTGGTATTTGTGGTAAATCGACATTATAAATTTCATTTCATACATTTTACTCTTCTCTTTTACTCATTTTCTCCATCTCTCTAATTGTATGAAACCTTCAATTTAGTCTGTTTTTTAATATAACTGGAAAGCCAACACAAAAATCCCAAACGAAATGTTCTTGTGAACCATCCAAGAGATTCTATCGAAAGTTTTAGTACTTATACAAAGCCCAACAAATAGCAGTTCCAAATTCATATATAACAGCAAAAGAACATATTTATTGTTGTCTAAATGGTAAAGAAAATGTCCATAATGATTTACCATTACCCTACCTACTATCTAAGGAAATCAGTGTAAATTTTTAAATGTGTTTTTAAATTAGATTTTTGGAACAAAAACATTTAATTACCGATGCTGTAGAGAGGTATTTGAAGATTTGAGAACGAGTCTGAACAACGTCTGGCCCGAAATAGAAGCATCACATTTCTGTCTAGGAATGACAGTAAATGATGTCATGGTCTAGAGACAATTGTCTAGAGAGAACAAAGATGTTTGGGTTCAAATCGGCAACGATAAGCTTTTTTTCAAATCTCCCAAGTATTTCGTTTTCATCTTTGGGGTTCGGGCATGGTATTAATAATATGTAATAGGATATTTCAAATTTGTTTCCCAGATTTAATTAGTTTTCCATTAGAATACATTGTTGCCGTAACATTGTTATTGAACAGTTTTTCATTTATATGTATTTTTAAATATCGATTTTGCATAAAAATTTTACACGTTAACATTTTCTTTTTTCGTTAGTGTGAATTAACAAATGTTTGCGTAGGTCAGATTTTCGTTTAGAGTTTTTGGAACAGATTTCACACTGATATGGCTTTTCATCAGTATGAATTATTAAATGTCTTTGTAGTTCAGATTCTCGTTTAAATACTTTGGAACAAATGTCACACTTGAATAACTTTTTACCAGTGTGAGTAAACAAATGTGCGCGTAATTCGGCTTTCCGATTGAATTTTTTGGAACAAATGTCACATTTGAATGGGTTTTCATTAGTGTGCAATATT